ATATATATACATATATACACACACACATATATATATATATATATATATATATTTCTATTAGTTAGAGTGTTCGGTCTTTACAGTGCTAGGTCTGAGACTAGCACTCGATCTCTTCAGTGTTCGGTCTTAGACTAAAGATGAGTATTATTAGTGCTCAGTATAGTACTAGTTCTCGGTTTCTTCATAGCATTCAGTTTGCTACTGGTATTCGGCGCCAAACAGTATTCGACCTCAATAAATGGTGTTCGGCCTAGAGTCTTAGTATTCGGCCTATGCTTAGTAGTGTTCGGTTTAAACTCTTAGGAGTCGAGTCAATGAAGTGGTTAATTTGGTAAATAGCGTTCGGTCATGTTAGTTACTAAGGAATGTTATTCCATTCGGTCTCGTTCATAAACATGATAATACCTCTTTTGGTCTTGTTCATGATTACTATTTTATTTTATCATTCTGTTTGATTGAATTGATAGTTAAGTATGATGATATTGAAGAGTGATATGAATTGAGTAATATGGATGTAAAAGAGAATTCCAAGGAGGAATATCTCATGAATGGTATTGGAATGGTAAAGTATGAATGTGGACAAAGCTTAGCTGGCGTTTATCTTGATATTCAGTGATTGCTCATTCTCACGTAGAGAAGAGTAACTCATGTGTGGGAATGGCAGGAGGTCCTATACCATAAGGTGAACTTGAGCGGAACGGACTAACCTTGGGTGACAGCTGTTGAAGGTATCCCAGCTATTACATCACCCGGGTGCAAAAACGTCGTAGCTACACAAAATTCATACAGTCCGAATAGTCAGTAAAGTGGTCGGTCATTGCATGCATTGACGTATAATTATGGTTGGAAATGTATGATTGGATGATTGCATGATTGACTTATTGATGTATATCAAATTTATGTGAAATATATGTTTTACTGAATTAATTAAATTACATAAGCTTACCCTATTTTCCTGTCTTGTCTGTATTGTCCGTTCGGCCGTCATTTTCTGTTGCAATGATCATCCTGTGGATGTGAGCAGAAGGGGAAGAGTGTCTACTGGAAGAAGTGGAAGTGAAAGTTGAACCATAGGACTGTTCGGTTGTTAGAATTGGTTCTATTTTATATAACCGATCAGTGTAAGCTTAGTCTTGGAACCGTTCGGTCTAGACCGTCGTTTTGTAAAGTTTAAATTCTGAAGTATTGTTGTAAGGCCGTTCGGCCATAAACGTACTTATTCTCTTTCATAACAGAACTGTAATATTGTTAACTGTGAATATTCTATGGTATGCTTTTATACTGTATTTTTGAGATGTTAGACTAAATGTACTCAAGTTCCTAATTATGTTAAAGAGGATTTTAAGTAACATTTTAACTATTTATTAAAATGTATAAAAAGACACAAATTCTAGTGAGCACTGTATTTATAAATCAAATTTTTTAAAAATAATATTATTAATTAATTCCGCTTACATTATTTTATTTGTTCCTCATTTCATTTTAAGTGTTGATATTTTGAAGAAAAAAATATTTTTACTCATCTATTGATTTCAAAATTAAACATAGCATTAATTATTTTTAGAAAATCGTATTCTTATTTTTTTTACATAAATTTGAGTTAATTAACACTTTTAAACGAAAATTAATGTTGCTAAGGCAATTAATGCTGCGGTTTGGTGATGGGTTCTTAAAGTCACATTCTTGTAATTTCATACATAAAAAATGTTAGATAATGCACTAAGTTGAACCAAATATTCAATTGATAGGAACATCTAAACTACTCTAAAATACATATAAAATTTATAATTAAAGAAATTAAAAGATAAGATTGGTATTTTTCTCCATTATATGCTAAGAAGAATACACTTATATAGCCCAAAAACATCTCTCATCAACAAAATTATTTCATTTTACAGAGATTAAATATTATACATATTATTTTTAACACTATAGAAACATTCTTTTAAATTCTTAAAATATTCTATAAAATTCTTAAGTAAATGCAAATACAACTTTGATTTATTTTCATTACAACTTTTTCATACATGCATTAATTTGAATTTTTTATGTAATAAAAGTCTATACCAAAACATTGTTTAATAATATATATTTTGAGTTTATTACTATATTAGAACTAAGCATTTCGATTATCAATCATACTTGTCACCAATGTTTGGGTAGTTAGTAATTCCATACACTGTTACATTAAGTTAAGCTAGTGGCATAAGAGACAGATAATAATTTATCTACAACTATTTGTAAAGAAATAAGTTATTTTTTCTACGTTTTTGTATTCAATGTTACATCTGTGATATTGTTTATATTCTCAAAATTTCATTTGTATTTTTTAAATTATTCGCATTTCTATCCAACACTACCATACAAATCATTCATTATTTATTTTAACCATAACTGTTAATTTTTTAATTTTAAAAATGATTACAATAGGTTAATAATTTTTTTACAACTTTTCTATAATAAACTATGTAACATTATTTTATTAGTTTGTATATTTGAAACTGATCAATCACGAACTAACACACAGTTATAAAAAAGTTATTAAAAAAATATTTTTTTAAATAATAAAGATACAAAAGTGTTTCTTTTCTAATAATAATTAGCAAACTTTAGTAAACGTGTGGGGAAATAAAAAAAAAAACAAAAAGAATATTTGCAAAATGTGACTGGTCTTGGAACGATCAAAAAGAACAAATACAAAGGATAATAGGCAATATAAAAGGTGACAACCAACAGGAGGAAATTATCCTTATTTGGTTTAAGAAAAAAACCTTAGAAGGATATAATAAAAAAATAAAGATTTTTTTAATTATTTTAAAGCATCTGAATCAAAGTAAAGAAAATTAAAAAAAAATAATCTCTCCACCAATTCCCAGTAATAAATTATACCAATAAAAAGAAAGTGACAAGACCAAAGAAAACCAAAACCAGGGCTTTGGTTTGGGTCAACTTGAGTCACTCGTTTAGATTCTTGAGTTTTTGTAATACGTGTCGCCACTAAAACTGCAAACCCAATATCAAGTCAAACTCCAAAACAATTTCACTTCATCAATTTCCGGTAAGGTTGCATATTTTCTTCCCACAAAAGTTTTGATGCCTTATTTCAACTGAGATTCCATTTATGTAAATTTTTCATAATACTAATTAGTATCCTAAAAGGATTAGTTAAGAAAATATATTCAGTAGAAAAATTATGAAAACATAATATTTAACATTTTAATACACTTTCATCATAATATTCAGTAAAATATATTTATTAATCAATTATAATATTCACAATTTTAATTCAAAGTATGAAGTTGTAGATACATGTGTATTGAGGATTACATAATATTTACCATACACAAAAACAATTACACATATGTAATTCATGTATACATTTAATATATTTTAAATTACTAAAAATTACAAATAAGAAAATGGTAACAAGTAACCTGTTGAAGATTCAGAAATGAAAAGCATCAGTGGAAAAATATTACTTAACTACAATTTTCTTTATCAAGAGTATTTATGGGCTAAGGATCAAATACAAAATATACTATAAAATATTTAAGAAATGGAAATTACTATAGTTTTAAATAGAATTTAGTGTGACATGCTTTTGTAGAAATCTTGTTTTCACTTACTTTTGTTTTTTCTTTCATATCAAAGCGCAGAAACCTAGGTATTAAATAATTATTTTCGTAGTTTTTTCTTTCATATCTATTTGATTTGTAAGAAAAAATTTCACAACTAAATTAAAATTCATGAATATTTTTACAGTAAATAGCTAAAAAAATATTTTAAATTTTTAAAATGAAATATAAATAAAATTATTAAAAATATATAATATAATATAAATTAAATTAAATATAAATTAAAATTTTAATTTTAATTAATTTAATCTAATCAAATATAAATTAATTTTATTTTTATTTTTTTATAAATAATAAATACTTACACGTATAAGTATTATGATACCATATTCAACTTGTTTATAAAAAATATTAAAATATTTACAAATGTTAATTATTTATTACGAATTTTATTTCTAGGGAAAAGTATTTTTGTCGTCAAATTAAATTTCTTTACATTTTAATATGATATATATTTATATTTTATTAAAAAGATTCTATGTTTAAGTTCTTGTGATCACATAATAAAAGTTTTGTGAATAAAGAAAAAACATTTAATTGTATTTTTCTTATCTTGTGGCGGTGATGGATGGTTCGTGAATAGAGTCTTGTTCCTGGACATGGTTACTCTGCTATGTTCATGTGTAGGGACCACATAGTTGAACTCAGCAATTCAAGAACCAAGAAAACCATGGCCTTCTTAAGTTACTTGTTTAACTTGGTAGGTGCGTATTAAATAGTAAAACAGTAAAAAGTAAAACACTCTCTCACCAACCAACACCAAACTACAAAACCAAAATCTAATCCAAACCTTAAAATTTACTACTAGCTTCGCACTCACCTCAACCGCAACCCAACACTGTTCTTGTTCTTCATCTTCTTCTTCTTCTTCTTCCATGGCAGCAACCTCAACGTCACTGGCTTCTCAACTCTACATTGGCCTGCGCCGCCCCTGCCCCAAGCTCGATTCTTTCAATTCTCCGTCTTTTTCTGCCTTCGACCCTAATCTTCGCCTCTCCCTCTCTCCTCCCAAACCCTCACGCGCCGTTGTCGCCATGGCCGGCTCTGGCAAGGTGCTTTTGCTTCTTCTTTTATTCTTTTTAAAAACTTCAACTTTATTATTCTTTTATTACCCTTGATCGTTAAATAAAACTCGTCTCTTCGATTTCGGTGGGTAATACATTTCTCTTCTATGGGTTGGGTTTGCGCAATTCCATCGAAGCCTGTTAGCATCCATGCATTATTGGTTATATATTGCTTTATCTTTAGTGGTTGGTTATCCATTTGCCATTTGGTGTATTGATCTTTTTCTTCCTTTCTTCGTTGTTGCAGTTCTTCGTTGGGGGCAACTGGAAGTGTGTAAGTATCTTTCCCCCAAACTGTTTTTGTTGCTATTTTTGTTAAAATGCTATGTTTATTTTTTGTGATTCAGTACTTGAGTAGTTGATTGATGTTATATTTTATTTTAGCATTAGAGTGGTATAACAGCACACTATTGGAATGCAAATTATGCGCCATAAATCTCGGACTATGTTTTGGTTTTGAGTAAATAACCTATACTTTTCCTTGTAAGTATTGAACTTAATGTTTTTGTATTATGCATCTGGTTCAACTCACCACACTTTGCAACTTACGTCCCCTGACTTGACTTTTTTCTGTAGCTAGCAGTAGCAGTTTAGAGCTTGTTTTCAACCCTTTGTTCAAACTTTCTTTTAATTTTTTTTAGCACTAGTATCCTGGAGCCATTTCTTTCCATCTGCCATACCGTTCTTATAAAGAATGCACTCTACATTAAAGGACTAAAGGAACTCTTTCTTTCCTCTTGATCACTTTGTAGAGCAGCACAGGTTTATCTTAAATTAAACTAAATAAAAAAAAAATACAGTTTTCTTGCGATATCATATCTATCTTTCAGAAGAATTTCCTTCATACTTCATCAATTATCCCTTGGACCTATTTATTTGTGTAAAATAATGAACTTATATTCTCTTGCAGTTCTACCAGGTTATTTGAAACAGGTCCTTTTTGCATTGTTCAGTAGTTTTTGTTCTTTGGTTGTATGTGATAAACCACTCATAAGTACACATGAATCATTGGTTCTCACGGTTCAATCAATTACTAGTTCAGTAAACTCTGCATATATCTCTATCTGATTTTTAGTACTTTTTCTGTTTTCTTTAGAACGGAACAAAAGATTCCATCAGTAAGCTTGTCGCTGACTTGAACAGTGCAAAATTGGAGCCCGATGTTGGTGAGATGTGTTCAATCTTTATTTGTGTTTCTTGCTAAAAGATGTAGAAGACTATAAATAATTGTTATGCTTCTTCCCTACTCCTAAAACCTAAAATAATTCGTTGAGTTTGAACATTTTTTTTCTCTGTATGCTAGTGCAATGACACATTTGGTGTTTGGTTACAAAATGCTGATAAATGATGATATATTTTCTGGTTGGAAATGATCAAATTAATTGTTTCAAAAGGAAATGGATATAGTTCTCGATTATCCATTCCCAGTGCCAAAAAGTGGCAAAACGCATGGAACCCCATTCCAACCATGGGTCATTTGCAGAGAACTCCCTTGTACTTTGGAACTCGCCAACATGATTCATCGAACTTACCAAACTATACATAATGACTCCTCATAGGGGGTTTTGGGCACATGCCCAATAAGGTCAATATACACTATTTGTTTGGCATGTGCTGTGTGTGTTGGTGTGTTTGAAAGCTTAAGTAAATTTGCAAGCTATGATCCACAATTGGAGAGGTTCCTTGTTTTCTGGTCCCTCAAAAAATTGTATTGAGTATGTGATTCAAGTTAAAAAAAAACTCTTTCTTAATAACCTTGAAAAGTTATCATTTGCATTTGGTCATCACAAGCATTTCCATTTTGAGATGTACAGATGTCGTTGTTGCACCTCCCTTTCTGTACATCGATCAAGTGAAAAGCTCACTTACAGACCGGATTGAAATATCTGCCCAGAATTCTTGGGTTGGTAAAGGTGGTGCTTTCACTGGAGAAATCAGGTTAGCTTGCTCTTTCCTGCCAAATGTTAATTAATCCAGGTTTTCATTTTGTTTTTTGAATTATAAATTTTGGCAAGTTGGATGATTGCAGATACTATTTCTTTTATGTTCACAGTGTCCTTCATGCTGTTTTCGATGCAATTCCAATGTTTAAACCAAATATGTTATTGTTTTCTGGTTATCCTCAATTATGCTACAAGTTAATTCAGTTAGTTATTAAAACATGACTTTTGTAGTGCTGAACAAGTGAAAGATATTGGATGCAAGTGGGTTGTTCTTGGACATTCTGAGCGAAGACATATAATTGGAGAAAATGATGAGGTAAAGCAAATTGATACAGCATTCTTGCCAGAGAATACTACCAGTATATTTGCAAGAGATGATAATATTTTAGATATTAACCGAACATCGTCCAGTGCAGTTTATAGGAAAGAAAGCTGCCTATGCTTTGAACCAGGGTCTTGGAGTGATTGCATGCATAGGAGAATTGTTAGAAGAAAGGGAAGCAGGGAGAACTTTTGATGTTTGCTTTCAACAACTGAAGGCTTATGCTGGTATAATCCATTTAAAATCGTTTTTTTTTGGGGGGAAAAACAAAAGGGGGGAGGGGTTTCTGATTGCCAGCATAAAATTCGTTGTCGCTTTTATGCAGATGCTGTTCCTAGTTGGGACAATATTGTTATTGCATATGAACCTGTATGGGCCATTGGAACTGGAAAAGTGGCCACTCCCCAGCAGGCTCAGGAAGTACATGTAGCTCTTCGGGATTGGCTGAAAAAGAATGTCTCAGATGAAGTTGCATCTAAAACACGAATTATTTATGGAGGTAAATCTTTTGTTGTACCTGTAGTTGCATTGTGAACTTTTGGCAGTGTTACGGAAATTTAACATATACCATGATTTAATAAGGCTGCATGTTTATTCAATGTAACTTTGCAACATCTGAACTTTCTTATGATGCATTATTTAAGAACATAGCAGAATCATGTATTTTCACAATCAATGAACTGCTTGCCATATAGTGATAGCTGATATACTTGATAGGTGTAAAGCTGTGCACAACATATCTTGTTAACATTAAGATTGTCCCTGACCTTGTCTATGCAAAATGTTGGTTTAGTTTCAGCATATTTGAATATAAAATTGATCTGTTTTCAGGGTCTGTAAATGGAGGGAACAGTGCTGAGCTGGCAAAGCAAGAGGATATCGATGGATTTCTCGTTGGAGGTGCTTCATTGAAGGTACATACATAGTTTGTTTGAGCAAAGTAATCATAGCATAAGATAAAGAATTGAGGTTATTATTTATACTTACAAGTTGATGTTGTTGAGCTGCAGGGTCCTGAGTTTGCTACCATTGTGAATTCAGTCACATCCAAGAAAGTTGCGGCTTGATTACTTATTGTAGTTTGGGCAATATGAGAGGGCAATTCTCAAATGTGGCAATAAATAATATGGGTCTATTATAATAATAGCACTTTGCTTTTGTCATCCTGAGTTTTTCCAAAGAGCCAGTATTTTCTTTCGATTAGAGATACAGAGAGGCAATAAATTTTAAATGTTTCTGAATTATTGTTGTTTTCTCATAACGTCACTGTTAAATCTTGAATTTTATTTTCTTTTTATGGTCGCTCTCAGTCATGTGGTCTGGACTTTTGTGACTCGAAATGTGCCTTCATAAGTTCACTTTCTTCGTATTGTGATGAAGCTTAACATACTTTTTAGATTAAACTTATTTATCGTCCAATCGAACAATTCAGATAGTTATATGAGAAGATAAATTGAATTACTTAAAATTAAGTATATTTAGTAAGTCATTCAGTTCATTGGGTTCCGTTACTTGAGTATTCAATTATGTTCAATTCAATTTCATTGAATTGAGTTCAGCTTTATTTATGATTGGGCCAAAGTCATCAAAATCCAAACTAACTCACTCTTGTATGGGCCAAAGCAAGCACCAAGGATATAAAATAACCATATTGACAAGTACTTCTAAGATAATGGCTTTTTTCGAAGTCTTAACGAGTATGCTCTTTATATAAAAACTTATGATAATTAAGATATTTTTATTGTTTGTGATGATCACTTATTCACTAGCAACAATCCAAACTTGTTTGAAGAATTCAAGAAGGTGATGTCATATGAGTTTGAGATGACAGACATAGGGTTCATTTAGAGCTGCCAGGTAAACCGATTTGACTCGACCCGGTCTATCATGAGTTGATCACTTAATGAGTCAACTCAGCTCGGTTTGATCCATCACGGGTTAGTGGGTTAAAAGGGTTGATTCATTGGTTCATTTAATTATAAGTTTTTTTAAATAAAAAAATTAAAAAAAAAGTAATTCAAATCTAAATAAATGTCACTCTAAAACGATGTTAAACTCCAAAGACAATTCAAAAAAAAATTATCATACAATCCAAGCGTAATCCAAAAACATGTACAAAAGACGAACAAATAAGTTTTTAATATTGTTAATTTTTATCTCACTTGTCCATTTATAATATTAGAGTCTTAAACAAATAAATCTATAATATTTTTCTTTCTTAGAAACATTTTTTTTTATCACTATCTACAATATAATAAAAAAAATGTTAACTAATAATATTGAAACACAAAATAATAAATAATTAAATTAAATTAGGTGGGTTGGTGAGCCAACCCGACTTACCATGGATTCAACCCGGTGAGCCGAGTTCTCTAAATGAACCGGGTTGAATACTGACTCGCATAAAAAAGTTACATTTTTTTCAAACCCAACCCAGTTCAAACTCGTGGTGAACCGAGTTGGCTCGCGAGTTACAATCCATTTTTGAGAGCATTACATGTCATACTAGAGGTTAAGCAATTGGAGGAAGGTATCTTCATTTATGCAAAGGAGGTCTTGAAAAAATTTAAGATGTTTGATTATAGTCTAGTGAATACACCCATGGAAAGTGGGATGAAGCTATCAAAGTTTGAAGATGGAGAAAAGGAGAATCCCACTTTATTCAAAAGCCTCATGGAAAGTTTGAGATACCTAACATTTACAAGACTCAATATTTTGTATGTCATTGAGTAGTGAGTCGATTCAGGGGACTCCCGCTTCTACTCATATGAAAGTTGTTAAGAAGATAGTCTGTTATCTAATAAGTACTCTTGATTATGGGTTATTTTATTCATTTTATAATGATTTCAATGGATTTTGTGATAGTGATTATACCAGATATATCAATGATAGAAAGAACACTAGTAACTTATTTATATTTTTTTATAGGAAAATGTGATTTTTTATGAAGTTAAAAAAAAGTTTTAAAGGTTAAAAACAAAGATCGATGTGTAGAAGATTTCAAATTAAGAAAGAGAAATGTTATTATAAATTGAAATATAGAAATATATAAATGTCTCTAAAATTTTCTTAAGTAAACTCTAATATCTAAAAAGTCTTAAATTAGTGATGGATGTAAAAAATTTCATAGTGAAACTTTAATTAGATAAGCTCCTAGAAAAGAGTATAGATATCTCCATTAACCTTTATAAATATCCAATTCTACTTGCTCTTTTTCAGAAAAAAAATTTGACTTCTCTCTTCCAATTCTCACCTCTTCCTCTAACAGTCAGATGCTTCCAAACTATCCACATTGTATGTAGTAAAATAGTGCATTATGAGTCTGAGTCTTTCAGATTATGCCACTGATCTGAATCCAAATATGCTGTTTGTACTTGAAATTACAAAAATTGTCACGTGCTGTCATGTTAACGCTCTTATTGAATTGAAGAAAGGGGAAACCATATAATATAACTACATTTTTTTTCTTCAGTTTTCTGTGCAAATGACCAATGTTACCAACTTACGACGAATCTGTGACAGATAATATTGGTTGTACATTCAGACAATAGTAATGGGTACAACAATTCCATTTCAAAATTTGGACCAAAATATGTGACGAAACGTGGAAATAAATTAATAGATTATGAGATGATGAGATGATAAGATGAAGAATATAATTTTGCGGACGTTAGTTTATTACTAAATCAGTGGGAAAGCACACTAATGATTGCAAGCCCCACACAGTATTTTAAATTTCTTGTCAGAGAAGACCCAACAACCAGATTCGTGCTGGTGCTGCATGTTAAACAAAGTTGTGTTCATAGTTTAACTCGTTTTAAAAGTTAAACTGTAAAAATTGAGTTTTTTTTTTCTTAAAATTCATTACTTGGTATTGGAATAAAAAATAAGAGCCGTGTTTTGGGACACGCTTACGCTGAAACAAAAGGCGAGGGTAAGACAATAAAGCAACCGGAAATCACGAACAGAACCGAAGCATTATTGAGATTGGTATTGTTTTTGTTTTCTACATCTGTCTATTATTAACCTGGCATGTGAAACCCGAGAATAAGGACCCCTACAATGTATAGTGATCTACGGCTCCTGTCTTATTCATTGTAACAGAACCAGCGACAGAACTACAACAAACGCCGAATGATTAACATTAATTAACGTGGTTAGGCACATGCAAAATCTTCCCTTTAGCCATCGTATTGACTCTATTGGCTGTAATTTGTAAATCGGTTCAAATCCCTTCATTACTTGCTTCCAATATCCATAGAAATTAATGTTAAGTGATATTGCTTCGTTTACCAAATCGATGAATGGAGCCTCCAAAGTCAAATGAAATATAGCTGCAGATTATCATATGTCACGGGAAAGGATAGACATCAACTACCTGTTCGTTTTTCCGGACTGTGTACAATGTATGTAAAATCCAATAATTGTTCTACACTTTTTTCGAATTCTACATTAGTAGAAAGAACAAGTTTTTTATATCAGTATACAAGCAGACAAATTCAGTTGTATATCTAAGTGAAAAAGATTTACAAGTTTATGTTTTCTTGTGATTTTGGTTGAAGATGAGGTTATATTGTTTTGTATAATCGGTTATCTTTTTGTTTCTTCTCTCATATCAAAGCCAAAGATTCATTTTAGTAGTCAGCACAGATAAAAACAATGGAGCGGATGATGAATTTTAGGTTTGCAGATCCTTCTGATAAAAACAGTCTTTCTGACAAGGTTTGTGCCAGATTGACTCAGTGTTATATGCTTTTGTATAAAATTAGGGGAAAATCTATAAAATGTTTAGCAGGGATGGAAGTAAGAGACTGTAGCATTTTTGCGTATATGGTCTAATAAAGAAGAGATTTAGGTGAGTAAATGGTATGGATGGAGTGGACCATAGGCACATTTCCATGATGAAAAAGTGTGTTGGAGGGGCCAATTGGCAAAGTGGAATGCATAAAGTGAAAGACCTGTTTGGTTTGGATACTAGCCTTTCCAACGCTTTCTTTCACGTGCTGTGCTGTTTGGCCATCTCATCATTGGTGCGCAAAATCCATATTCCCATCAATTTACCTCCACCAACACCCATCTATCCATTCTATACCCATATTTAAGACAAAACTACCAAAACCATTTCGATCACAACTTGCTCACATTTATTTCATTTTATCCCAATTACACCATACCGCTTCAAATAACAAAATAATATCTTTACAATCTTCTCGTATTCTCTACCATTTTTGCTTTATATATCCTTATCAGATCACATAGTAGCTCATGTATATTTTGTTAGAAAACAATGTAAAGCTATGTGTTTCAAGGTAGAAAGTTCGGTGGAAAAGGAAACAGTATAGTCATAATTTGAAAATCAAGATACATAATCTAAATTTATGATATAGAATCTTGCTTTGTTATCCAATTCTCAATAATATTAGATAAAATAAATACAATAGCTTCACATATTGGAAGCCTCTGAAAGGGTGCATTATTCCCAAACAAGGAGACAAACTAGATTTCTGGAAAAAGTTATTAATGAGCATATAGATAACACTGACGATAGATGCATAGCTATATGATCCAGTTGAATCTGGTTTAGTTCCTTTCTCTAATCAACGCTCTACAATCATTCTTCCTGGCTTTTAATAGTCCGATACTGTGGTCGGTACTCGTACGTCTTCGTTAGGGAAGTGAATTACCCATCCACGCTGATGGACCCACTTCTTGCATGTGCCTCAACGATTCTCCCTTTAAGAACTTTTGTCGCATACCATGATTAACTTTTTTACATTTTTTTTTTTAGTTCAATCTTCTTCTCTGGACAGTCTGTTCATTGTCGCAATGATTGACAGATTAAGGGTTTAATAAATTAGAACTGTGCAAGAAATTAGAAAAAAGAGGAAAACATTTCAATTCGACAGAAGCAGCAGTGAAATGGTACATTCAGCCAGACCCCAATAATGATACATCCATGGTGGACCAGGTGAGAAAGAGAGAGACAGAGAGAGGATGCACAAATGATGATAATTTAACTTAAAAGAGAACATGATCATCAACCATCCAACCAAAGATCAAAGTCCACCGATTCAACACGAAAGGAACAACCCGCGAAAGTAGAATGAAGAGAAACACAAGGAAAAAAAACATACACAGAAGAGGATCGAAGAGAAATTCAATAATAGACAATTTTTTTTTTTTTTGTTTATTTTTGTGATTTCGGGTCTAGTAGTCAGTGGTTGGGAGCTGCTCGTGGGTGTGGCTGATGAAGACGACCTCGTAGATGACTCCGGCGAGGCCACCACCGATGAGAGGGCCGA